TGGTGCTTGACAGGCTGACAAAGAAAGATTTCCAGGGATGCTTCCAGGCTTGGCAGCGGCGCTGGGATTGTTGTGTTCACTCCCAGGGGACTACTTCGAGGGTGATGGATGAATTTAATACCTGAGATAAGTGTACGGGTTTTTATAGGCGCAATCTGGAAACTTTCCGATCGCACCTCGTATGTGTTTATGATTGCATGTGTCAATTTAACTCTGCTTTGTGTGCCAGATCAAACTGGTATTTAAACATCTGACATTGAATGTCTTAACATATGAATGTTTGTCTCAAAGAACTGCACATTGATTATGTGTAATATTATCGTATTTCATGTGTGGCTTTGAAGTGAACAATAAATATAAAACTGAACCAAAGTTTTAAAATGAATGACACTTGAATCTCGAGCCTGATGTGATGATTTCTTAAGAAGTGGTTCTGCACCTGTTGACAGTTGTTCCAAAGTGCAAAATTAAATACTGTGGACATGAAGAGCAGAAGGTCTTAATTTCCTTTGCAGACCTGTTTCATCTGCAAATATTGGAGGAAGCAATGAAAGACACTCTCTTTCCAGCATTTTTTCACATTGCTGTGAATGCTTTTGTTATTAACACTTGATTTGCGAAGGGCAGAAACAATGCTTTGTAAGAAAGATGTTGAAATTAAACAGTACTTCCTTGGCCAGGCTGGATGTGGAATGGATTAGTTTCAATAGATACAAATGTTTTGTGAGCTGTGGTGATGTTGGTTGACTGTATGACATAATACATAATTGTTAATTGTGAATGCAGCTTTGTTAAAGTGTGAAATGTTGGGCTGCATGTATTGGCTCGTTTTCTGTGTTAATGAGTACCAGTAAGTTAAATATTTTGTAATCCAGTTACTGAATCTTTTACAGTTCTTAAAATGTTGATTTAGGACATAACCAGAATAAGATATTACTTTCTGTTCGAACCTGATCTGAACATTTGTCTCAATTGTTTGAAAGCCGTGATTGTTATACCATTTTGGTCTTGAATGCCTGACATGAAAAGTTTTCCGTGGGCAACTTGTTCATATTTTTTGAGGCAGATATTCTTATAGTAACTGTAAAGGCTTCATTTATGAGGCTTCTGTTTTTCTTGGTTTGCAGATATTGGATCATCTGGCTGACATCATGACATTCGGTTCTCTTGAACGCTGTGAGGAGTGCAAAGGTGGGCAGTTTGTGTTCCGTTCAGGTGTGGGCTATCAGTGCCTGGGAGATCTGACTGAGTGGACCAAGTGTCAGAATAAAACACTAGAACCAAAGAGAAAGCCCTTCAAAATACCCCCTGAATTCCCATCAGACCATGTTTTCTTGTAAGTAACCAGATGATTGTGCACTATACAATATGTCTGCTGTATTGATTCACTTAATTTAACTTTTTAGGAAAGTTTGTGTCTGAAAGTTGTGAAGTGTAAAATTTGTGAATACAGTGAAACCTCTATCCATCGTTCCCGGAACTATCGTTTTCCCGGATGCATCGTCCGTTTTGTTCGGTCCCGAATACATCCCATATAAAATAATGTTACATTTTCCCGCTTCTATCGTTCCTCGAACTATCGTTTTATCGCATCGATCGTTCAAAAATCGTAGTCCCGGCCCACAATTTTCCCGCAATGATCGTTCCTGAGAATTTAAAATGCTGGGTTTAGAGATAAATTAATACCGAAAGACGCACAATGTTTTTGGAATAAACAGTAGCGGTAACCTGTTATGTCGCCCAACCAGCACATTCTTTTGGAATGAGGGTCAGCGGTGCAGGGGTGATAGTTGGAGTGAATGGCGGTGCCCATTGTCAGAAATTTTACGATTTTAATTAGGGTGCACTCATATTTCGTTCCAGCGATGCCAGATGGCATGTGCAGTGTGAATTTCTTCACAAATGCTTTTATTACAAGGACAAAGGAAAGGCAAGTGAAGTCGTTCTTTTATGCGCTTAATATTAGTGAACGTGACGAGGAAAACATTTTGAACGTGGAAAGTGCTCTGTTTGGTCTAAAACGTAAAGTTTCAACAAACCAGTTGTCCATTAAAGACTTTTTTGGTAAAAAGAAGTAACTTTGAAAGAGAAACATTGTTTTTTTTAAATTTTTAATGCTTTCCCGCATCTATCGTTTTCCCGCATTCATCGTTTTTATTTCCCACCCCCGCCGAAAACGATGCATCGAGGTTTCACTGTACTACTTTTTGTAGAATGTAGTTTTAAATGTTAGATTGAGGTTTATAAAATCAGTGGAACAGTGATTTTACATTTTATATCACATTATTTATAACCATCTCCTGAACTTTGCATTGTACATGTAACCACAACATTAGGAAAACAGCTTACAATGAGAACTTCTGTTGTAGCGAGAAAGTTCAGCCACGCCATGAAGGAGTTAATGTAACATGTATAGTGCATGCAAATACAAAAAGGATTCTAAACGTGTCCTACATAGCCATATACTGAACCTAGATCTTGAATTAAATAATGCCTTTTCATATTGGCTGATTCCAGGACAGTGGGTTATAAAATTTTGCTTAGAGGAGGCTGGATTTTTGAGGCAAGTTTTGATGGATCACTGTCCCCAGAGGATACATGTGTCACTGGCTTTTATCTCTGTTTATGTGTGTGTGTAGGAGTTATTACATTTTTGCATTACTGTACAGTATTGGAACAAAACTGTATTACAGTATGGCAACAAGGAGGCCAGAGCACTTGGTAAATAGTTTAAGTATTCTGTAAGTACAGAACATTGCGAGCAAATTACCAGAACTCCCCCATACCTTGTTGCAAGTCAGGCAGATTGAGTTATCTTTTTGAAACTGAAAATTGTTTTGCATTATGACTGAATTAATTTTATTTACTACATTTTAGACCTGTTCACAGCAGATAAACATTGGTTTCTTAACTTTACAGGCAGAAGTACAAATATGTTGCAAGGAAGAGAATTGTCCAGCTTCATACACCATCAGCTGCACCAACAATTAGTGGAACATCCAATTCAAAGTAAGCAAACCTTAAATCGCCTTGGAAGTTTCATCATCATCAGATTTCCTCATGTCTTTTACCCTGTCTTCATCTCACAAACTGCATGTAACATTTAGTCTCAGACTCGCTTTCGCTGTTATCATGGTAACTTGTATTGTATTGTTCTCCTTATTTTACTGTTTATGGTATTGCTTTTGGACAACATTATGGAATCAAAACATAAATGTATGAATAATAATGAAGTAAAGAAAAGTTGTACCATGATGACACTAGATGAGAAAGTAAATATTCTAAGTTAGTTGGTGCAGTGGTATGAGCGCAGCAGCAGTTGACCTTACTTTCTGTTTTGCTATTTTGTTTCAAAGTGTAACTTTCCATTGATATTTTACTTCAATGCTTCACGTTCCGATGATACTTTATTATATTAGTTTGTTCAAAAATAATTGTTTATTTATTTTGTCTTTCCTTAGCCATGTTCCCATATCCCCATTAATCTCATGCAGTGTTAAGTTCATCTGTTGCCGTTCCACCAAACACAGTGTTTTTGAGGGATGTATCTGCCACATAGGACGATGGTTTAGTGTGCATTAAAATATTTTTCCGATAAAAGTTTAATTGTCTAATGATGTGAATGTTTTATGTTTGTATCTTTCCTTGAAAAAGTGTTGTCAAGATATTGGCAAATTCTAAAGTGGGCTTCATTTATATTGTATGCGAAACATGGCTCCTTTTCCTGCACTTCGATAAGTTAATGTCGTTATATAAAATATTTTGATGGTATATGTGTCATGCATGTTATTCCATCCACCACACATTTTATCCTTCCACAAAAGCTCTAAGTAATTTACTTCCATCTGTTGCATTCTTAATGTATATGGCAAGATCAAAATGTTCCAGAAACTCTCTCTTTTTTTATATAGACCTAAAGTAGAAAGGGCTGGACCTCCCCTGAAGAACATGGAGTTTGTAATATTGGGAAAAACCACAAGACCAAGGGATGAGCTGAAGAAGGAAATTAAAAAGCTCGGTGGGAAAGTTGTAACAAACATCCATGACAAACTTGCAGCTGTTATTTCAACCACAGGTAAATTTGTCGAGGCTGTGTGAACTTTCATACCACATTTTGAGTGGCATAAGACTCTTTATGGTATGCAGTACTAGGTAATGTTACAGAACCAGAACTTGGAATAAATTGTCTTTCACCTAAAACATCACCAGCTTTAACTCAAACTTTTCTGTTGCCACAGAATCGTTTTGTAGCTAATGTGGATAATGTTGTCTGTAGTTGTAGGTTTTCTGTGTGTTTTATATTGTACATTATTGGGATTTCTAATAAGTCTTATGTCTAAGAATTTTACAACAGTGTCTTTCTTTTTCGTTGGTAAGTGTAGTTTTGGATTTATTTAATTGAATTCTGTATAAGTTGCTTGATGGGTTTTCCCTGTGGCCACGTGGTCTGAGGCATGGACCTCGTGCGCCTGGCCACTGGGACCATGGGTTTGAATCCAACTCAAAGCATGGATGTTTGTCTGAGTCCTTTCTCTTCCAGTCTGATGGATAAAGACTGGCCACGGAAGGCAAGGTGAAACCACAGTGGTACCTTCACAAGAAAAAGCCCCGTTATGGGGCTGCCAACCAATCCTACGATTGATAACTAGAGAAATAAAAAATAGATTGAAGACAAATAGTCTTGCCTTCCATCACTGTTGCTGCTGTTAGTCTATGTAATACTTCAGGAGTCTTCAGTTTTATTTGCATCTGAGTCTGAATCATTCATGAGTACTGTCACAGAAAGTGGCACAATTTGAAGAAAATGGCTTACTTATACACAGGGCTGGATTATCCGTATTGCATCGGTTGGGCAGCAGAGTGAACGAAATGCTGGTCGAAACTTCCATGCAGAATATGGTCTCTTTTTAAACCAGGAAAAGTGTGATTTCTCAGTTCATCATAGCATGAGTAGAAATAGTATAGACCGTAGACATTGAAAGAGAGAAAACAAAACTTGACCATTGATGCAGACAACTCAGCATTTGATTTATATTGGTGCCACACCACAGTGCTGTGACAGATTTTTAGTCTTTATCAGCAAATCTATAAACTTGGGGTTGTTTACCAGTGAAATATTGATGATGATACTGCAGACAATCTTTTGATGAATTTTTAAACTTTGCATTCATAATAATAACTCTGGATTCTTTGCAGGTAGAATAAATTGGTAGTATTACTAGTGCTGAGTACAAAGTGTGGTATGGGATTGATTATATTTGTGGTAAAAGAGTGCATATGTACTAATGTTGATTAAATAAATCTTCCTGCATGTCCATCATTATGTACCATGAACAATGGGATCTACAGCTATTCCCTTCCTGAACAGTTAAAATGCAAGAAACACAATCCAAACAGAAATTTAAAAATTAGTAAAAATTTGATGCCAGTTTTTGCATGTGTTCAATCTTCTGCATCTGGTAATCAGTGGGTTAAAAAGCACAGAATTTCTTGATGATCTGAATAGTTCAGCTTCTAAGAAAAGAGTATATGCAATAGAATTTGTTTGCTTTTTTCGTTTTAGCTGCTGCACTCAATTAAGGCAACGTGATTGTGTTTCTTATTCATTTGTGTTACAGTACTGGGGTTTGCATTTTTCAGGTGAAGTGGAGAAGATGAACAAGAAAATGGAAGAGGTTAAATGCTGTGAAGTACAGGTGTTACCTGAAGACTTTGTAGACGAAGCAAAGGATGGTGATGTTATGGATTTGATTTCCAAAAAGAATATATCTTCATGGGGCTCAGATGTAAGTATTTTATAACAGGGAGACATTGGTTCAGTTCTCATACATTTATTGTGCCAGTTTTTTTTCTGTGAATGTGTGATATGTAACTAAAATAGATGAGATCCTATAGCTATAGTTGTTCATCCTGTTTTGGTACTGTATATGAATGGCCAGTCATAGGAACACCCTATGAAGGACCTTGTCTTTTTCTGGGCCCAGATAGGGTTCTCTCTCCTTTCCTTGATCAATTGCTCTGATCGACTCTCTTGAACATGTTTGATAACCTTTCTTCTTTAGCGTACCTACATCCTGGCTGCATTATGTTCTGCCCTGAAGATGGACTTTGCAGGTTCCTATGAAATACTGCTAACCACCTGCATGACTCTTGGGTCATATAACCCACAATCTAAATTTTCACCATTATTCATATCTCGTAAATTATGACGATAAATATTGTTTTCAGCCCCGTGAAAGGATAGCAGTGGAAACAGTGGACAGCGTCAAGAAATCGAAAAGTGAAAGTAAGTTCTATCTTAAGTAATTAATTCAGTTTACTTTAAAGGAGCTCAGGGAGCATGCTTTTATTGCAGTGTTCTATGTTGGCCAAAATTCTTGCTTGGAGTCTGCGCATTTACCAGGGAAATCAAGTCTTTTGTCTTGCTGTGATGGTTTATGAGACTGTTGCTGGAGATATTAACTAGAAACATCTGTGGTGTGGACATAAGCATACTAGGCAGACCATGAAATCATGAGTTTAATAGAATGATGGTGTTTGTTGCTGACATTCATCGTGATGAAAGTCTTCAATGAGATGTTAATTCAAAGATGGGTCATAGTGCCATGTAGTCTGGTAGAAGTTTACCATTGTTTCATACATACAGGCTGCATCCATCATCAAGATGATCTCTCATTGCCCTTTGATGGAGATGGCAAGGACCTCTGAAATGTTGGTAAACATCTGCCAGAATACATGGCAGTACAGCAGCCCAGAAGACGGCCATCTTCGTACTTGCTGACATAAGAACCTCATATCCTACAGGATGTTTAGTCACAGGCCAGTCAAGAGAAGATTGATTTGATCTTTTAGTGTACTTCACACTCTGGCATGAGTAAAGAATGTTTTATGGGCCGATCCTTGTTTCTCTGTTGGTCTGTTACATTTTTTCTAGGAACTATGCAATTCCCATGACTCAAGGTCATTGTTGGAACATGTAACTGTGAACAGTTTGAACTGGGGTCATTAGTGGCTTACATTCTTGCTATAGTGATGCTGACTCACAGGAGTTCTACTGCCTGCAAGCAGTGTGTAATCAGTTGCAGTTAGAACATAAGAATTCATTCTTCAGTAGTGAGGAATAAGAAATTTCATGTTGTTCTGCAGTATAAAGCCTGGATATCCAAAAAATCATAAAATTTGTAAAAGTATTACATATAAAATAAGGAAACAAGTTTGACTTTACCTCTTGTAAAATGTTGCTTATTAATAACAACCATATACATTTGATCATCATTTCTAAACACAAAATGAGTAATTTTTATTCAGTAAAATGTTCTAAATGTGGAGAATGTGGGCTTTGACTGTTTTGAATTGTTAATTTTAGCTTACACTTTCTCTTATTGCAATGCGTTGTTTGTTTAGGCATGTTCACAAAGAGTATGCCATCTAAGGTGAAGCTGAAATTGAAGCGAGGCATTGCAGTTGACCCTGACTCAGGCCTGGATGACGTTGCCCATGTCTATCGGAAGAAGGATGTTATCTACAATGCAGTGCTTGGTATAACAGATATCCAAAATGGGAAGAATTCCTATTATAAACTACAGGTGCTGGAAAGTGATGCAGGAAACAGGTATCTTACTACTCGCTTTCACTTGAGAAGTCGGTTGTTTCAACTCTTTTTAATTAATTCAGGTTACCAAGCTGCACTACAGCTGTCATCTGGGCTCATTTCTCATCAACCCTGCCACCAAGAATCTGTTTCTCCCCTCTTCCGTCCGTCTGGAGACTGCTTGCTGTTGTCCTGCATGAGACAAGGACTTCATTTTCTGTTATGGCTTGAAAGTGGCCTTCAGTGTGGAAATGGGCCAGACTGCAATTGCCTACTGTCATTTGTATATTTTAATGTTACATTTCTATTTATTTATATTCATTATATTGTTTTGGTCATAACCTAGTCACTTTAAATATTGCTTGTTAATGTTTGTGTTTAATTGTTTTATTTCGTTTTACATTAATTTATTTAATACATATCCATTGCATCATGTTACAACAGCCTGTGTTCTTAATTGTCCTGTGAGTGAGCTGCATCTTATGTTTGTTTGTTGGTAGAAATGGGATGCATATGTTTATGGTAGCATCCTCTTCATCTTGGAGTTAAAGGTACTCTTCTGTCACTGCCTCATGAGGTATGCAGTAGCCCTTACCTCAGTCCTCAGTTAGTGGCTTTATCTCTGACCTGGTGCTTGACTGGTCTTGGAGTAAAGTAGTTAAATTTTTCCACATTGTGTGCAAGTGACATTAGATAGAATTATAACTGCATGGAACTATTTTATTTTACAATACCCATCACAGGCACCATGGGTCAGATGCGATAAGGGATACTAATGGTCAGACTTAATGAACCTAACTTTGAAGTTATTCACGTTGGTGTCTTTCTTGCGGTTGCTATTGAAATGCTTATTGTGTTGCAGGTATTGGTTATTCCGGTCATGGGGTCGCATAGGCACCACAATCGGAGGCAAGAAGTTGGAGGAAGTACATACCTTGAAACATGCATTTCAAATCTTTGAGAACATTTACAAGGTAAAGACAGGAAACATGTGGTTCGATAGAAACAATTTTCAGAAAGTTCCTGGATGTTTCTACCCTGTCGACTTAGACTATACTCAGGTAAGATTTAATTGTTATGAGATTGCTGCAATCTTGATTCTGATATGAATAATACTAGCCCTTAAAATTTAGAAACATACTCTGCTAAAAGTCATTCCCCTACAAATAACATATAAATTATAATGGACCAGTGATGAGCACTCATGCTTCATATTGAGGAGTTCCTGGGCTCAAATCTCAGCCCAGAGACCAGCTATCCTGACTGAGGTGTTTTGTGGTTTTCTTCAGTCCCTCCAGGGAATTGCCAGGCTAGAGGCATAGTCCTGCCAACATTCTGCTCATTATTCACTGCACTGAAATGATATGCTAAGCTGTAGAGTGGAATGAAAGATGCATTCACTTAGATTACAAAAAACAGCTAACTTACTGATTGCTATGTAGCTTCTGTTTGTTGTACTGATTAACTAAAATTTCTGTATTCTGAACAGTGTTAAGTTAATCCATGGCATCTTCTCAATTAAGTATTATTGGTAGTTCATCCTCTGTAACTTTTATTGTCTCAAGTTTTATATAGGTCATATGCAAATCCATGTGTTTTGTTCACAGTTGCAGCTTAATTCCCTCGAAACCTTTGGCACAAAATTAAACAGTGGAGTAAAACATGTTGCAGAAATTAAAAACTAAAATCACAGTGTCTACCATTTTCACTTCTACTAGCATTTGTCTTTTTGTAAGCCTTTTATGATTTTAAACATGAGAGCCAAGTAGAAGGCATTCCCTTTTTCATTCGTGGTAGCATAGCATAATAAGTTTGTCACTTGTAAGCAGTTCTTGCATGCATACAAATATAAATGTATATAAATACAAATTACTGGGTTTGAAAATTGATAACCACATAAATTGGACAAGTCATGTTGATGAATTTAAATCTAAGTTACGTGGCGCTTGTTATGCAGTTAGTCCTATGTGACATATCAGCAGCACTGTCACACTCGGATCAGTTTATTTTGCTTATTGTTACTTTGTAATGAAGTCTGGAATAATTATGGGGAGTAATTCATCTAACAGCAAAAAATATTTACTTTACAAAATAAAATTGTCAGATTAATGGCTGATATCAACATAGAAATCCATGTAGACATCTTTTCAAGATATTAGAGATCCTAGACCTTCCATATATAATGCAAAACTGCATAATGATGAGCTTAAAAATGTGTTCTCCTCTCCCAATATTGTTAGGATGATTAAATCAAGAAGAATGAAATGAGTGGGAAATGTGGCGAGCATGGATGGGACAAGAGGTGTGCATCGGGTAGTGGTCAGTAATTCTGAAGGGAAGAGACCGCTAGGGAGACCTAGATATAGATGGGAGGATAATATCAAGCGAGATGTATGGGAGATAGGAGTTGAAAGTGACTGGATTTTGCTCGCCCGGGACAGGGTCCGGTGGAGGGCTTTGGTGAATTCGGTGATGAACTTTTGGATTTCCTAAGCCATATAGTTCGTTAGTTATCTGTTCCGTGTAAATACATTTTCTCATTAGTGAATTTTATTCTAAATAACCAAGAATATTTTCAAATTAATTCTGCTGTTCACAGTGTCAACACAATGAATAAGAATCAGCTTCGCAGGCCAGTTGCCAACCTCTTATGTTTTCAGAAGAGTGCTCTTTATGTGGGCATCAAAATTTTCAACAGTTTTCCATGAAGTCCCATGAGTGTCATATATAAAAAGGCAGAGTTTAAAGTAGAATTAAAGAGATACTTAATTACGCACTCCTTTTACTTTGCTGATGAATTTATAATGTTCACTAAGCTTTCCTGGTCTTCATGTAATGTAAATCGGTAGTATAACTTACCTACTGTGTAACAACTTGTTCCAAATCCTGTTGTTATCTGAGTAACTTCTGGATCCATGGAATGTAATAAAGATGTGTGTGTGTGTTTGTTAGTGAATTAAGAGTGCAAAACAGATAAGCTTCATGTAATTTATTATGCATTAATTAAAATTAACTCTGTGCAGGAAGATGATGAAACCTTACTGCAGGCAGGAAGTTCCAGTATCACATGTAAACTTTTGCCACCTATACAAGAGTTGGTACAACTGGTATTTGATGTGAATTTGATGAAACAGGTTATGCTGGAATTTGAGGTTAGTGGGAGACAGACTTTGTATCAAATCTTCAAGAGTTTTTTAATAATGTATTTAAGTCAGTGTTTTTCAGCTGTTCTGCTGTGGAGCCGTTTTGGGCTTAAAACACCTACTCTTTTGTCACATTGGTAGAGACAAAATATAAACTCATGATTAAGATGTATTATTTGATCTAGCATTAAACAGGAAAAAGTAAATTTCATATACAGTAGTTTGCCATCCTGAATTTGAGCTTATATATACCCTACACATTCAAAAACTGACAGTAACACCCACGCTTCGTCGGAGTTCACAGGAACAGACAATGTAACCACAGCTTGCCACCAACCAGCAACGGCCACCAAACCAGTGGACTAATAGCTAAATGTAGAATATAATACACCAACTCCTGTGAAACCAATATCCAGTGAGGTGTTACTTATTATGGTTTATTAAAGAACTCACTATTAACTTCATAATCTGGTTAAAACCATTTTTGAGATTATATGATTTAATTCCCTTTTTGCCACTGATGATGACCTCTTGAGGTTGAAAGGCATTTGGCACTAGTATCATTTATATTGTTAACAGTTTCTTTGTTTGCTTATTTTTATATTCTAATACACTACACGGTATGCAAAGTTTTAAGATGGTATCACTTAAGAATTTTGCGTAACTAGAATTCATGATTATAGAAGGTTTCTAGAGTTGTGGGAACCTTTGTAGAGCCCCTTGGCTCTTGGACACAGTTTGGGAATCACTTATGTACATGACACATAACAATACTTTATGTATCTTTGGACACATTGCTACTGTACGTACCTATATATGTTGTGTTTAAATGAATATGAATTGCTTGTTGTGATTGCAGTTGGACTTACAGAAGATGCCTCTGGGGAAATTAAGCAAGAAGCAGATCCAGCAAGCATATAGTGTCTTGACAGACATGCAAGAATTAATCAAGAATGGTGGATCTGATAGCCGTTTCATTGATGCCTCAAACCGATTTTACACTCTCATCCCACATGATTTTGGTGTAGAAAATCCACCAGTACTAAAGTCTGAGGAAATGATTAAGGTTATTTAATTGTGACAGCTTTTCTTTCTCTTTATGTCGATCTTGTAAAAAATTTGTTTTATAAGTTCTCCATAGATAGGTTTTAGTTGAAGTAGTAGGATAATCCAGTCCATACAGTGGACTTGGGATGGCCCGGCCCAGCCTCCTGGTATTTGATTCCTCTCAAGAGCAGGTCTCTTTGCCACTGGGTGTAGATTGGCTCTGAGGCTCAGCCAGCCAGGTGTCTAGTTGATATGCAGGGAATAATATGATTTGAGTAGGAACCAGATTCCTCGCCTTCATCTAGCACCAAAATCTAGAGGAATACACTGACACTTGACAGTCACACACACATCTCTCAATTTATTACAGTTCATTAAATGAAAAGTGTTTATAAGGTAAATCATTAATGAAATTCCCATTAATTTCAGTCTTAAAATTTTTGACTGCTTTCTGACTCCCAGAAAAATTACCCAATATATTTCTCACCTGTTAGAATACTGCATAATCATAAATATAAGAGCAGTTTTTTTATATATATATAGTTATTACTTATTTAACCCTGTAAAGAACTACAGAAGTGTTTCAAATCTAAAACTTCTTGACGATGGTGAGGAGTCAATTGAATAAAAATTTCCTTTGATATTATCCATCGTCTAGTAAATATAAAACGTAAAAACGACGTTTCGGAGATGGGATGAGATTAACAGAAGTGTTAATAATGTGTTTACATTGTGCAGAAGTTACTGTTATTACAGTATAACTTCAGAACTCCAGTATAGTTTTTCTAAAGTAAATATCTTCATTCTCTGCACGTGTTCATGTTGGATGTGAATATGGAGTTTAAACAGTTGCAATTATTTCAACACTGTTAAAGCTTCATATATAAAAAAGTAAAGCTGTCCCGCTACACGCCATGTAGGTTATTTGGGGGGAGTGGAGGTATAGCTCCTACTCTTTCTTGACCTCGGCACCAGATGGGGGTGAGTGGTCAGCATCACGCCCTCGGCCGTGCTTTACCCCCAGGAAAGGACCCCGGTACCCATTGGACAGGAGGCTGGGAGGGTCCCAGAGCCAGTCTGGACGCAGAGGCTAGAGGAAAAATCCTCTGCTCCTGTTGGGGATCGAACCCCGGTCATCCAGCCCGTAGCCAGTCACTATAGTGACTGAGCTATCCTGACTCCTAAAGCTTCATATACATACACCTGATTTGTAGCGGTAAAGTAATGTTACTTATGATGTTGCAGCAAAAGACAGAGATGTTGGACAGCCTCATGGAAGTAGAGAGTGCATACAAGTTGCAGAAAGGTGATGCTGATGGTAATGTGCACCCTCTGGGTGCTCATTATGCTAAGCTCAATACCGACATCTAGGTACTGGACAAAAACACTGATGAGTTTGAGCTGCTGAAACAGTATGTTAAGAACACTCACGCAACAACACACACTCATTATGACCTGGAGATTTTGGAGGTATGTTGAATGACTAGTCTGTCTTATTTTATGAAAATAGTTGTATTCCATCTATGGTCATGAGAACTGAATACTTCAACAGTCACAATGCCTACTTTTCACATTTTTCACACGACCTTAACACGTAAATTTTCTTGCCTTAATTGAACATTAGACTTGTGGTACTTTTGTACCTTAACGATATTTATTACTTGTGAAATGAGAAATAAAAACAAGTGTTCTGTGAAGTGCTGTATTTTGCTGGAGTATTGGTATTTCATTGTATAGACATTTTTTTTTCCAGGTGTTCAAGCTTAAGCGCAGTGGAGAAGAAAAAAGGTACAAACCTTTCAAAAAGTTACACAACCGGAAGCTGCTGTGGCATGGATCTCGTCTAACTAACTTTGCAGGCATTTTGTCTCAGGTATGAGTGTTCAAATTTTATAACCATGTGAATAATATTTGAAGAAGTGTTAACGTTTCAGGTATCTTAACATTCATTTGCAGTAACAGACCACAGTGTAACCATGGTAGAATGAGTACAGCCTATAACAAGAACTTTGTTATATCGAGCAGAAATCTTTGGCTTCGTAAATTTTGTAACATCACATACAGTAAAATGTTGGAAAACAAAGTTATATGAACTGACAGATTGTATACATTACAGTGAAATTTTGTTACTGTGAAGGGCAGTAAAAAGGAATTGATAGCTTTAGATTAATTGTTTTTACAAACATTACTGGTTTTTAAATAATAATAAGTGGCACAGTTCCCATTCCTGTTGTGTATTGGAAGAGTTATAGCATTTGAAAGGTTTTACATGGCAATTTGACAGTCCCTCCAGCCAGGATTTTCTGCCTCAAAACAGCATCATATGTTTGATAGGACATTGCTGTTCGCTATTTTGCTTAGTGCACTGGAATGTCCTGTGATTTCATGCTTCCACGTTGGGAATTCCGTTGTTGCTGGAGGCAAGGGTGCATTTCCGAGTTGTCTTCAGTGGCATTTCACAGGGCTTTGTGTTTTAAGAAATATTGCTCTTAGAAACATTAATATGTATCATGGATACTTTTCTGCAGTTCTGAGGGCATGTTACAAAAGTAAATAGAAGAGCTAAACATGTTCCTAGTGAGCAGAGCATTTCAAGAAGTCACATTAGATGTCCGGAAAGTGGGAATTTAAATTAAGAATCTGGTGGTACTTTGTGTGTTGATGCACTGTTAATCTCTATTGCAGTTTTATTGATTCTGAATTTAAGCCAAGCAAGAAAGTACGAATCATTTTAGTGGTATTTAGTGATACCACTCAGCCTTGGACATTCTCGGTTTGTATCAGGATTGTCTAGTTGCACCCGGCCGATGGTTGGTTCTTCGGACATGCCTGCAGCATTCGACTTTGTAAGGAGTAGAACACATTGTACATTTGTTTCAGGGTTTGCGAATTGCTCCACCAGAAGCACCAGTTACAGGTTATATGTTTGGTAAGGGGATCTACTTTGCAGACATGGTGTCCAAGTCTGCCAACTACTGCTGCACTTCTCCAAACAATTCAGTTGGGTTGCTTCTCCTGTGTGAAGTTGCTTTAGGAAATATGTAAGTATGATACCAATTTTTTCAGAGTGTTGGAAATCCTGTTAATGACATTTTTTTTTCCAGGTGTTCAAGCTTAAGCGCAGTGGAGAAGAAAAAAGGTACAAACCTTTCAAAAAGTTACACAACCGGAAGCTGCTGTGGCATGGATCTCGTCTAACTAACTTTGCAGGCATTTTGTCTCAGGTATGAGTGTTCAAATTTTATAACCATGTGAATAATATTTGAAGAAGTGTTAACGTTTCAGGTATCTTAACATTCATTTGCAGTAACAGACCACAGTGTAACCATGGTAGAATGAGTACAGCCTATAACAAGAACTTTGTTATATCGAGCAGAAATCTTTGGCTTCGTAAATTTTGTAACATCACATACAGTAAAATGTTGGAAAACAAAGTTATATGAACTGACAGATTGTATACATTACAGTGAAATTTTGTTACTGTGAAGGGCAGTAAAAAGGAATTGATAGCTTTAGATTAATTGTTTTTACAAACATTACTGGTTTTTAAATAATAATAAGTGGCACAGTTCCCATTCCTGTTGTGTATTAGAAGAGTTATAGCATTTGAAAGATTTTACATGGCAATTTGACTGTCCCTCCAGCCAGGATTTTCTGCCTCAAAACAGCATCATATGTTTGATAGGACATTGCTGTTCGCTATTTTGCTTAGTGCACTGGAATGTCCTGTGATTTCATGCTTCCATGTTGGGAGTTCGGTTGTTGCTGGAGGCAAGGGTGCATTTCCGAGTTGTCTTCAGTGGCATTTCACAGGGCTTTGTGTTTTAAGAAATATTGCTCTTAGAAACATTAATATGTATCATGGATACTTTTCTGCAGTTCTGAGGGCATGTTACAAAAGTAAATAGAAGAGCTAAACATGTTCCTAGTGAGCAGAGCATTTCAAGAAGTCACATTAGATGTCCGGAAAGTGGGAATTTAAATTAAGAATCTGGTGGTACTTTGTGTGTTGATGCACTGTTAATCTCTATTGCAGTTTTATTGATTCTGAATTTAAACCAAGCAAGAAAGTATGAATCATTTTAGTGGTATTTAGTGATACCACTCAGCCTTGGACATTCTAGGTTTGTATCAGGATTGTCTAGTCGCACCCGGGCGATGGTTGGTTCTTCGGACATGCCTGCAGCATTCGACTTTGTAAGGAGTAGAACACATTGTACATTTGTTTCAGGGTTTGCGAATTGCTCCACCAGAAGCACCAGTTACAGGTTATATGTTTGGTAAGGGGATCTACTTTGCAGACATGGTGTCCAAGTCTGCCAACTACTGCTGCACTTCTCCAAACAATTCAGTTGGGTTGCTTCTCCTGTGTGAAGTTGCTTTAGGAAATATGTAAGTATGATACCAATGTTTTCAGAGTGTTGGAAATCCTGTTAATAAAGCAGGCTTTGGAAGTGATAAATATGTAGATTATCTTCTTCCTAAGACGTTGCCACTATGTGGCTTGTCTAGAATCATAAAGTAAGGGTTAGTAACAGAAGATGGTGATAAATATTTTTCTACACCTTAAACTCACTGAATGCTTCACTTCTGCTTTCTATTCGAGGCTACTTCTTGACTGGGATAAAACAGTTGTGACATTTCTTTTATTGTTTTCCTCAGTCCCCCCTTGTAGAAGCTGTTACTGAAGACTGTCCTGATACTTAAGTAAGCGTTGGATAACTGAGTAAAGTTATGTGATAATTATCTCTTTGAAGTCATAGTTTATCCTAATACTATTTAAAAATTCTGTTTGTACCTCGGGGAAAGTGTAGCATGTCTCCATTACACAGATCATTTGATTAATGAATGTAGTTGGCATTGCTGGACTTACCTATTTGAAGGATATCACATCACACTGATGTAATAAACTGTTGGAAATTAATATTTAACGGGTGGTATTCTTGTAATTTGCCTGGATGCAACTGTGTGATTCAATAAACTCTGGTATGTTCTAGCAAATGCAGACAGCTAATTTTTTGTCTTGCAGGGTGAGTTCATAGAGATACACCCATTGCATTCAGTGTCTGCTGCAGAACTGGAACTGCATAGGCCAAGCATTATGCCACTTTGATACTATTTCTTGTCTGGAAACGTAGCTGCATCATACTTCACGCATTCTGTTGGTGTTAATACTAAGAATTTAGTGAATGGTTACGAGTACATACAAAAGTAAACCACCTGTTGGGTTAAATCTCAATATTGCTGTCTAATAAAATGATCACTCTTCAAACTTAGAATCATTCAAAACTCATGGATGCATTTGGTGGGTGTTATGCAGTGCAGCCTACTGACTGGTCAGGGTTTGAATCCTGTTGTCTGGCACCATTTGGATTCTGTCAGTACCATCCCATTGTCATTGCTAACTAGACTCTCTTTAATTATTCCATTGAAGAACAGACACTGCATAATGCCAGCTGGTTTCTTCCCCTTTAAATATCCCATTGATGTGCCGTTCTGCCTGCAGCGTGATTTTTGGCATGTGAAACTCTTCCTGTTCTGATTTTACTCAGTCTTAGTTAAGCCACCTCTGTTATGTTATTTCATCAGCCATCCTACTTTTGATTCACTGTTTCTGTTAGGTTACCAGTTCCATTCTCTGGTGTTACATTGTAGTGGGCAAAATGCTCAGTTAACTGATTGTTGAAGTAAGTGGTGCGTGTTGTTAACAATGGGCTTTAAAGGGTAAAAAAATACTTATGATGCAAGCACCATACTGTGAAATTTTAATTTTTTTTAAGAGTTCTATAATAGTGTAGTGGATTTTAGGTGTTGCTCTTCTGTTATAGGTATGAGCGTAAAGGAGCTGACTACATAAAAAAATTGCCAAAAGACAAACATAGCACCAAAGGATTGGGCAAGACTGAACCAGATCCAAAAGGCCGTGTGTTACGAGATGATGGGGTGGAAGTCCCAGCTGGTAAAGGAATTTCAGTCAGTCATAATGATGTGTCACTGTTGTACAATGAGTATCCTTTCATGTAATTCTGTCTGGAAGTTTGTGCAAAGTATGTTGTACTTAAGAGTTGGTGATGTTAATCCTTTCATAAGTATGAATATGCCAATGTGTTCAGCGTCTGTGTGCTGCATGGAGTATGAACATACCCATGTGCCTCGTAGAGTGTGGACATACAGCAAGCAAATTTTTGCTATGCTGAGGACTGTAAGTTTCTGATGTCTTTTGGGTTCTGATCGCACTAAGTGCTCTTTTTGCTTCTTTTGCTCTCTCTTGACCTTTTGACCAGAAGTTGCATAAATGATGGGTTGTTATTATGGGAGGGAACAAACTCACTCTGATTGTGTTCTTAGGCAATTTAAATATCACTTGTTAGAGGATCAGTGAAGAAGATCTCTGTGTATTCAGTGGAACATTTTGACTGTATGTAGTGTCTTGAAATCAGTAACAAAGTGAATCTACTCCAGAATCCTGGATACTCGCCTAGGACAGCAAGTACAGTCCACCGGCCAGGAGAAAATCCCTGTGGGGGGAAGGCGGTTCTGGTGCAGTGCAGGGTGGGATGTATGACACGCCAGAGAGTTACACTATTACACACAGACTGAAAACAGCAGTTAAGAGTAGCATGTAGTGATTGCACCTGTACTGTGTTGTAATAATATTTTAGATTCAATCACAGGTGATTTAAAGATGTCGAGTGTACGTAAACAGGGGAAAACTGTTCGCTGGGAAGCGCGGGAAATAATATCCAGCGTAGTGAAGCTAACATTTCCTTTGACCCATGCAACAGACAGAGCAGCCAGATACACGCCTTACCTTCTTAATTAAAGCAGTAGTGCTTTAATTAAGAAGGTCAAAAGATAGAGACGAGAAGGGCACACTGTTACCTTTACACACGCCAGGGAAATACCGGCCTAGACCTACTGATAGGAATGTCACCATCAACTCCTTTGACATGTCAGTGATAAGGCAGACTGTGCAAGAATTTTATGCAATACAGAAGAAAGTACTAAGCTGCCCCAAGCTACTGCCCATAATTAAACAAAAAATCGACTTTCCGTGGGTGTTGATTCTCTACGGAATATTTTGCATAACTTGGGGTTTACGTGGAAGAAATGTCTCGGTAAGCGCAAGATCTTGATTGAAAGGCCAGACATAGTAAACTGGCGAGGAAGATACTTAGTGAATATTAAGACACTTCGCAGTGAAGGAAGACAAATATTCTACCTAGATGAAAGCTGGGTAGACCGCAATTCAACTTTCAAAAAGTGCTGGCAAAGTACGGAACTTACAGGAGAATGCGCTGATGGAAATGCTGGAAAAAGACTGATTATGGTGCACGCTGGATCGTGTGCTGGTTTCCTTCTAGGTGCGGGTCTGATATATGAAGTTTGCTCAGCAAGTGGCAACTACTATGGTCAGATGAATGGTACAAATTTTGAAAAGTGGGTTAGAGAGAAAATGTTACAGAATTTGCCCCCCAGTTCAGTTCAGTTGTAGTATTTCATAACACTCCATACCACAGTGTACAAGCAGATAAAGCCCCATCAAAATATTCAGTTAATTCTGAAATAATCTTGTGGTTACTGCGGCACAGAGTTTTCTGTGATCCAGCTATGAGAAAAGGCCAACTGTATGACCTAATCTCACAAGGAAACCAAAAGAAAACATTTTCAAAATTGATCAGTTGCTAAATGCCCATGGTCACACTGTAGTTAGGTTGCCTTAGCCCAATAGAACTAGCATGGTC